AATTATATTCCTCTTTTGTTCTAAATGTATTTTCATGTGAATATTATAGTCATGTTAAAAGTATGCCAAGTACTGCTCTTCTCCTTGATGAAAGAATGCCTTTTAGAAAGTTAAGTACAAAAGAGGCTGAAGAGATGGCTCAGAGGTTAAGAAAGTTAAGTACAAGCTAGAGTTACATCAACAGGTAGTTCATTATTTGATAAATGTATGAATTCATTAGCTAAACATAAAAATTGAACTCTCAACATTAAACCCTAAAAATTAACAGTCTCAAATGGGTAAAGAAGAAATCTCCCTCCAGTCCAGTTTCTCAAATATAATAAATGGTTTATAAACCAATAAAAAAAATCTTAGAGACAGACATAAATGTAGTCAATTGGTAGATAAGATGCTTATTAGTATCAAATGAATACTCTTACCAAGGGGGAAAAATAGCCTATATCTGATCAAATAAACAAATGCCCTAAGAACTTTATTTTATGACATACAAAATAACTATAACTTTGGGAGCTCAACCAAAAATATCATAACTCAAAATAAGTTAATTTATCTTAGAAAAATCTGTATTAGTTACTTTTCTGTTGCTGTGATAAAATACCATGACCAAAGGCAATTTGAAGAAGAAATTGAGGGTTTATTTTAGTGTACAGTTCTAGAGAGCTAGAATCCATAATTACAGGAAAAGCTTGCCAACAATCCCTAGGAACAAGAAGCTAGCTCATCACATATTCATCCACACACAGGAAACAAAAAAAGAAAATAGAAAGTGAGGTTTGGGTATAAAACCTCAAAGCTGGCCCCCAAGGGTTTACTTCCTCTAACAAGGCTGTGTTGCTTTCTCTGTTTTATGTGGGTTATTTAAGCCTCTACCTCCCTTCCACCAACTTTTTAACCTTAGGTGAGAGAGAGAAGGTTAGTGGAAAAGTAGATGCAGACCCCTTTTCTTCTCCCGGCTATTTAGGGTCAGTGGGTTCATTTGGGGCTATACCAATCTCCATCAACAGCAAATGCAGCAAGCAGTCTCCTCCAAGCTGCTGCGCTGAAACATTCTCTCTTTCTGGCTCCTCCAAGTCATTACACTGTCCATCTCTGGTTTCTCCAACTGGGCTCTCGTATTTATATCCCTCAAAGTACTAAACCATGCCCCTCTCCATGCTGCACAGAGGCAGGCCATTACTAGCTGGCAAAGACCAGGCCCTGCAGAAGGCAGTTATCAGCTGTGGACAAACTAAAGCCCAAACTAAAATCACACACTTGGGATTAAAACAAAAACATATTTGCATAACAAAACTGAGTTTTTACAGAAACTAAAACTCCCATTATAAGGCTGACCATCCATAAAGGTTCCCTAATGCCCCAAACAACACTTAACAACCGTAGTCCAAATGTCTGTGAGGCTGTGAGGGAACATTTAGCATTGAAACCACTATATCCCCTGAGCAAAGAAGCTAAGAGAATTCAGGGAAGTACAGCTTAACCCAAAAGAGAAGCTCAGTGACAAGACTTCTTGTCTGCATCCTTTCTTTTAACTTACTGCATTTATTGATCTATGTGTGTTTGGAGGAGGGAGCTGAGACAAGGTCTCATGTAGCTAACCTCGATGTGGCCGATGGCCACTGTGAATTCCTCCAGCTCCCAAGCACTGGAATACAGGCATGTACAATCAAAGAGGTCTTGTCCTTGATGCTTCTCATTTGCCATCAGATTAAAAAATAAATCTCCTTTATAACAAAGTGACATATTTTGAGATGACATATTTTTCTACCATACTACGGTCTCAGTAGTATCTCAGTATCTCAAAAGAAAGGAGCTACAATAGTGTACATAGCTGATTCTTAGGACTGGAGTTGTTATGGGGTAGTTCTCAAGGAGATTTAGTGACTAGTTCAAGAGGAGACGGTAAGAATTTGTAAAGCAGGTGGCTTGCTGGGACAATCTTTCTCACCTTTGTAGCCCACTTGGAGCTACAATTAAGTAAATGTCATGTCTATGTCAGAATACAGAGACCTAAATAAGTTTGTAATAAAATAATATCACTTTTGATACTTTGAGTTACATGATTGGTTTGGTACAGTTTAACTATTAAACCGGCAATAGTACAGTATTGCAAGTTCATGTTTCTGCTTCATTCTGCAGTGGGGAAGACTTTACAAAACTCAAAAATAATATATGGAATGCCTAGAGCTGGGGACTTAAGCTATTGCTATGGAGATATTGGTAATGAGACAGAATGAAAATGAGGAGATAAAGTAGAATGGAGCCAGGAATGGTGACATACAACTTTAATCCCAGCACTTGAGAAGCAGAGGGGTCTCTGTACCTTGAGAGCAGCCTGGTCCACATAGGGAGTTCTCAGCTGGGAGTTCACAGTGAGACGCTGTCTCAAAGGAGAAGGAAAGGAGGAAGGGAAGGAAGGAAGGAAGGAAGGAAGGACAAAAGAAAGAAAGAAAAAGAAAAAAAGAGAAAGGGTTTAAATCATTGAGGTCTTCGGGAAGAGAGTAGACTCCAAAGGGAAAAATAAATATCCAAAAGTTGAGTATTGAAAAGTTAAAAAGCTAGTAGAATCATTGACAATACCAAAAACAAAAAATTGGAAATTAAATTGTAGATAGAAAAGCAACAAGCTTTGGAAATGGTGAGACATATTTTTGTTTTACTTTATACTTTTCGCATTTTTTATAATTTATTTATAATGAGTTTTAAGCACCATTCCTGCATAGCTAGAAATATAACATAAAATGGGATTAAGTTGTAAAGAGGAAATTTGTGGGTTTTATATTTAGCCTTCCATTTAATTCGGTATGCTTCTTTGAAAATACTTTAAACGAACTGTAAATCCAATCCCTTGTTTAACCAGCTGTTATTTCATTATGTCAGTCTTGCAAAGTACTGGTTCTCCAATTTTAGCTAACTATTCTATTCTTTCTGGAACTGTTTGCAAAAACTGGACAGAGAAGCAAAGAAAATACTGTACTAGTAGTAAACACAGTTTTCTTGCCTTAACTTGTCCAACCAACACAGTTAAAGAGCTGCAGGTCGTGGCCTTGATAGAATTATGACTCCAATACTTTTGTTAGTTGAGATCAGAAAATTCATCTATATTAGCACCACAGTAGCAGTTTTCAAATCACTGCCAGTGTCTAAATATATAATATAAATATAAGTGGGTTATATTTATAATATAAATATAATATAAATAAATATAAATATAAGTGGGTTACAGTGTACAGTAGCATATAATAAAGTTAATAGTGCAATGTTTAAGGGAAGACTTCCAGGTGACATGGAGGGGCAAAGAGTTTTTTCAGTCTCTTTGTAAGAAGATAGTTTGAAAGCCACTACTTCTTAACATAAAGCCAAAACTCTGGCTATATAAGAACACTAATGAATCAGAAAAAATATTAAGGGCAGACTGTGGTTATTGCCCTGGGTACTCTCCGTATTAACAAAGTATCTCAGATGATAGGCTTGCCATCTCCCCCTTCTGTGTCTACTTCCAAGTTGTACTTGGCATCTGAGGTTTCAGCTCAGTACTGCAGCACATGGGGCTCCAAGTTTGATCCTTGGCACCTTAAAAATAAAACACTTATTTTAACTTTATACTATTTATGAAACTGAAATGTATCTCCTTTGTTTTACTTTCTACTTTACTTTGTTTTTGGTGTATTTGTGAAGGTAAAAGTACAACTTTGTATAGTCATTTCTCTCCTCTGCCTGTACATGAGTTCCAAGGAATAAACTCAGGCTATCAGACTTTGGGCAAGTACCTTTACCTGCTGAGAGCCATCTTGCTGACACTGAAAATATAACTTACACTCAATCTTCAGTGTAACCACTACACAATGGGTTAAGGGGCCCTTTTTTAAGTATTTTGCAGTCAAAACAGTCTAGGTTCACACTGTCAGCAGTATGGTGTGAACTAGCACCTACAAGTGACGATATGAAACCAAGGGGAAAGTAGATGCTCTTATTATAAAAAAAGATAATCACATTTATTGGTAATATAACATTAATAATACTATATAGTAACAGTATAATATAGTGATACTAATGATATATAATCAATAATATAATAAATCACATCTGCATAAACTGTTACTTCAGTTCTGACAAGTACTTTATAGGGTAACTTGTAAAGTACTTCATTATAAAATGAAGTCATTTTATTAATGAGAAAATCAAGGCCAAGAGTTTGAGTAATTTGCATTTAGTCTGAATCAAAAGGTATTCCTACTGCTATACTAAGCTGACGGCTTATTGAAACATCCAAATATCTAAAGTAAGTTTTCTGTTTTTTTATAAACACAACTGATAGATATTAACTCAGATAGAATTGTGTATGTATGTAGTTAAGTATTCTTTGTTTATGCCTCAGACACAAAATACCTATTTCTTTCAGAGTTTTTTCTTGAATACTGTTGATTCCACTTCAGAAAAAAAAGAAAGAAAGAAAACAGCAAGTGGTTTTTCCTTTCAGACTTGAGAATATTCTCATTGTCAGATAAATTGGAGAGGGCTTGAGAGATGGCTCAGTAATTAAGAACACTGGCTGCTCTTCTTTAGGACCAAGGTTTGACTCCCACCACCCACACAGCAGTTCACACACCCATTAAGTACAGTTACCTTTTGGCCTCAGTGGACCATGATCACAAGTGTTGCTCAGACTCTCATGCAGCCAAACAACCATACACATAAAAAATATTTTAAGATGAATTGGAAGATAGTATTGCCAGACCAAATACAGTTTTATAATAATCAGTTTCTAGGAAAGCCTAGTTTCTCCTTGACATTATTGCCAAATTATAGCCAAAACTAGTGTGAAATTTGACCCACTGTTCAGTTACCAGTCTCCTTTACTTACAATATTTATTAAAAGATCCTTTTTCATACCAGATACTGTCACAGATGCTCAGATGCTAAATGTATTCACATCTAATTTCTTCCATTATAATAGGCAACATCACCTAAAAAAATAGTGATGGTTCTTTTTGGCTTTGTAGCTGCTAAATCCTGAAGATGACCTCTTACCAGGAAAGATTCGAGACAGCAATCGGTCAACACTTCTAGCAACAATTCAGGAACATGGTTACCCTACAATCAACCTGGGTATTGTGGGAGACAAGTAAGTATAGTGTTTTGTTTTGAAAAACAGTTATTCTGAAATATGAATGTTTAGATTACTGGGGTAGGTTGGAGTTGGTGCTAAAGAGACAGATTGAACAACAAAATTCTCGTTGATCACATTCTTCAGAAGCCTGAAGATTTTAGAGGTACATATGAACTTTAGGAATAAATAGTTTCTTAGAATGAGCATAACAAAAGGAGAAATATTTTACTTTGCTATGGTGTGTTAAATCGAGATATCTTTTTTTTTCATGTAATTGGCTTTATTCTGGTAGAAATGACGGCAGTGTTGTCATTGCTGCTCAGACTTTCATTTCAAGAAAGACATTGGAAACACAGATGAGAAGCCTAAAGGAGAGACTGTAAAACTAGTATTACCTGATTTTTTTGACATTTAAGCACAGTTATTTTCCATGGGCTTGTATATTAATTTTGTATCCTTTTATAACCCAAATTTCTTGCAGCTTCCCTATTTAAGTGCAAAGGAGGTCCATTAACTATACCTGCCCATATTGAAGAGCACATTGCTCCTACCTACCTATTGAAGTACTTTTTAAAAACTCTTTGATATACATTTCTTATATCTCTTTCTCCCTACTCCACCCCAATCCCTTTCAACATCTCAACACCAGGTAGGAGAGAGAAAGGGTTAGTGGGAGATGGAGCACAGTTCTCTTAGCTGCTTCCTGCTGGTTAGGGTCATTGGGTTCCTTGGAGCCAGTCCAAGCCTCATTTCAGGAGATCTCCAACTTCTTGTCTCACTGTATCAACAGCAACCAGAAGCCACAGGGGGGAAACAGCAGCAGCCTTGTTCTTTCTCGCAGCTCCCCAACACTTTCTAGGTTCTGGTATTTATTCTGTCTTAGAATCCTCAGAATTAAACTATCTGCAGCTGGCAAAGACCTCCTCTCAGAGCCCACACAAGTCAAATAGTTTGCTGCTGTGGACCACACCTGGGATTAAAACATTAACATGTTTATATCCACAACACCTACCAAATCAATTCAGATATTCAGTAAATTCCCCAAATGTTCCTGTGAATTTCCAGTGATGCATTTTCATCATTAAAATAAAATAAAAACAGTCTGTTTTCTGACCATCCAACTGCAAAGTAACACTGCTACTTAGCCCTTTTCACAAGGCACAAATTCCTGTTCTCTACACAAATTCCTGTGTCACTGCTTATAGTAATAATTGCATATCAACCTGGTAAAACTAACACTGGATCCACTGTCTCCCTTATCACTACCTTGTCACTGAAGAAGGTCATTATGCATTGATCCTTTCTTTAAGTTGAGTGCTTTTGAAAAGGCTCTGCCCTCATTTCACAAAGTATGTTCTAGTAGGTATGCCAACAATGCATCCTAAATGGGAAGTGGGCACAGTCTAAATCTTGAACATTGGCTTCATATAAGGAACTTTTATAGTTCTTTTTTGAGGTTGTTTGATATGCTTTTAAGCTTCATTTTTTTTTTTTTAAATCCTTACTGTTTGTGGTTCACCTGGCTGTTTAAAGAAGTCCATAGCTGATGGCCAATATGCAAGTCACCTAATATCAGAGACCCACCAGCTAGAAAGGGAGTAGGAAGAGCTTCACAGCAGGGAAAAGACACCTCATTCTTTTAATTTGGGCCTAAGCAGTAATCTGCCCTTTAATATAAATTTCATCTAAAACCAATATTGACATAAATATAACTTTAAAGAACACAGGAAAAAACTTCTAAGAAGAGATGGGATGGATTTAAGAGTTTTAAAAGCACAGAGATAATGTGAGCAGGCCTAAAACTCCAAGAAACAAGCTCAGCAGATTCAGTCTTAGTTCCCACTAAACACTGGTACGGCCCTGCCTTCAAGTGCATTAATGAACTATTTAAGACATGTAAAGGTAAAAGGAGCTTTTTAATTATTATTATTATACATCTTACCCCTAAATTGCACTGTTCTGACCTGTAATTCTACCCATTCTCAGGTGTAATTTTTCACTTTCTATATTGATTTGGTTTCATATTTTTTGTGGGGTTGTATGTGTGTACATGTGTGTATGTTATGTAGCACAGGCAGACTTGAAATTCTCAAGTGTCTGGGCCACAGTAGCCAGCTTTGGTTTGGTCTTGTTGTTGTTGTTGTTGTTGTTTGGTTGGTTGGTTGGTCTTTCTGCTTTTTGTTTTTGGTGTGTTTTTTGTTTTGGTTTGGTTGTCTTCTTCTCCTCCTCCTCCTCCTCCTCGTTTTTAGGTACTTGATGTACTATATTACTGACATTATCTTATTATAAAAGACAAAACACCTTTAAAAGGTTCTTATGTTGGTGTACTAATAGATATATTGTAGAAAGGGAATGAATTGTCCTTTGTTAAGAGTTACAGGCTCATGGCTGATGAGATCCTGAAGTGGGAGACCAGTTAGGAGAGATAGCATCAAGGCCATAAACAGGCAGCCATGAGAGGGCCCTCAAGGGACACAGATCTTTCATTCCTGCAGATTGCAAAAAACAAAGGGAATTTTCAGGGTGGGAGGATAAAGTTCCATATCATGGTAACCTAGCCTATGTGCCAGAAGTCACAAGGCATTGAAAGTAAAGTTATAATTCAAGGTTGTTTCCAGCTGAGAGAAGGAAGACTACAAGAACACAGAATGCTTTATCAACTCTGCCCAGAGAGAGCTGACGGGTAGAGGAGACTGAGATGGGTGGGGGATGACAGCTAGAACGTCTATGATCTAACACTGATGTTTAATTGTGTAAAGTCCTTCATAATTTGTAATAGACATTTTCTGATGTTGTTGTAATGTGGATTTTAATTTAATCTCAAAGCATACTGTGAAAACAGCATAGAGAACAACAAACTATAAAACCAGTATAGGTGAAGAGACAGGTGCCACTTTCTAGTGTATGTCCTTTTATTTGGTAGCAGTACCTTATTTGAAACTGAGAACAGGGCTGTTGTTTAAGGGAGTGTTGCTAATATAGACTTTTTCAGTCTTAGAGTGCTGTGTTAAAGAAGCCCAGAATAAATGGTTTAGAACTCAGAGGTGGATTGTGGGAGGAAAGAATTTACTGCTATTCTAATGGAAATCTGCACTGGGAATTTAGCAAAGGAAACAAGGTACATCACTGTACAGCTATTGATATTCTGTGTAGGTTGCCTCTGCATTCTTTTTTGCTATGTATTCCCTTTTCTAATGAAAGCAAATATTGTTATACAGAAGCCTTTGTGTAAAGCTCAGCAAGGGAACAAGTAATCATGGGAGGAACCCTGGGTGAGAAACAGCTCAGGAATGTTTTCAAGCACAGAACCATGCTCAGCTAAGCCAGATAAGGGTAGAAACTACTCCTTTTATTCTTGTCATCTAAAAAGGCTTGAGTGTGGTTTTTAGGTTCTGTATGATTTATACTTTGCAGCTCTTGTTCTTGCCATTTACCATGATTTTTTTTCAATCGATATAAACTATAGAAGAGTCAGTTGTTGTAACTGTTTAAATTGAATTGAGCTGATGTTTACCGTTTGTTTCTGGATGGGTGTTTTGCCTGCATGTATGTCTGCACAGCATGTGTACCTAGCACTGTGGAGGCCAAAAGGGACATCATATACTTTATGACTGGAGTTACAGGCAGTGGTGAGCTGCCCTGAGGGTATTAGGAGCTAAACCTGGACCCTTTGGAAAAGCAGCCAAAGTTCTTAACTGTGAAGCCATTTCTGCAGCCTATAAAGTTTCCTTTTGTCTTATGTACCTTTTGTTTTTGTTTTTTATAAAACATGGTGAGTTAATAATTCAGTGAGAATTATAAGAGGAAGACTGCAAATATCTGAAAGTTAACTGTATTTGTAAGTGTTCACTTGGAACTAGTAAGTCTACATTAAACTATATTCCCTATATTTTTCTTACACTGAATGGAACACAGTATCGTATTGGAGTTTCTAGGGGTGTTTTGTTTTGTTTTGTTTTATTTTTCTTAAAAAACTCTAATTTTGAAACTCAGAGATGTTAAGGAATTTATCTAACATTATAAAGCTAGTTAGTGCAGAGGCAGAAATGGAGTCTAAATTTCTTGAGGTTAATAATGCACAACTCTTTGCCATGATTTCAAAGACATAATAAAAATGTCAGAAGAGCTGTAGCAATTCTAAGCTTAGGTAGTCAGAACAAGTTTCATAAAGTATGAGACTCTTAAGGATTAATGGGATCTTGTTAAGAAGAGATGATGTGTTAATCCAAAAGGAAACATAAAATTTGCAATTATAGGCCAGACTAATTATAAAAAAAAGGTTGGGATAGAAAGAATACACATAAATTTGGCAGATGTCTGAGATTACATTTTAAAAGGATTTTCACTAAAGGTAGAATTGTCCAAATTAGTTGAATTTGAAACTTTTTTTAAATGCAGAAGTAATATAGTAAGTCGTTATTTTAGAAAAATAATTTGACTGCAGTTTATCAGATGGGCTAATGACCAAGAGAGACTGGAAGTAAGAATGATACAGCTTACTCATTGTTTAGTCAGTCATCAGGAAACATTCACTGTATATGATGTTAGCTACCTGGTCTTAATGAAAACCTTGCTTATGAATCAGCTGGAGTGGGCTAAGACAACCTTTCTAGCTGTATAAACTAAGGACATGACTGCCCCAAGGTAGGTGAAAGATTTTATTACAGATATGAGAGAGAGCATAGCCAGGGGCATCCAGAAGAGTGCAGAGCAAGGAGAGAAGGTAGCAGACTAAATGTGACCAGCAGACCAGTCTTGGCCATGGGGGTTGGCAGTGGCAAGAGAGGAAGAGAAAGAAACAACTAAGACAGAAGGGCAAGAGAGAGGACTAAGAGAGGAAGACAAAAGAGAGGAGAGAGAGCATAACTGAAATATTAGTTAGAAGAATGAGAACCTGGGGTGGGGCTACTGAGCTAGAGAAGTCTAGCATAGAGGAGGAGGTGAGAAGAGCTAGCTACTTGTGATACACTGAGGGAACTTGGCCAGTACCGCAGATAGCCTTTGTCCCTCCTGAC